TACGCGGCTGGGCTTATTAGCCGTGGGCTTAATAACCGGCGACTACTGTATCAAGCAAAACTTGTAACCACATTTAGACGAAAACATATACAGTAGTTTACCCTTCTGGGAGTGATGAGTCAAGAACGTTAAGATCCACTGAAAGTATGCTTCTCTCGTGATTCACGACGCCGTTGGATACTTGAGAAGAGCAGAAATTTCTGAAATCATGCGCCCCTTCGAATTTTTTCGCAGCGGACTTTATGGACTAAAAGACGTCATAATATGTGAACATGGGTCTTACCTGTAGGTCTAGACCGCTTGCAGGAAAGAAGTATTTGTAAGATCGGCTAAGACAGCTGTGTCTAAGGCAGAAAGGATGAAAGAAAGACTGACTAAATACCTTGCCGTGAACTCTGGAGGCACTGGGGCCCAAGCCAAAATGCGTATGTCTGCTGGCAGATTTCGATTACCGACGAGAACATAGTCTATTTCTGGTTTTTCGGAGTCTAATGGGTAAAATGTGTTGGTGAGTTTAGATTAATATTAAGCTCGACAAGCAGAGAACATCTGCCATAAATAGAGCAGTCTAAAGTAAGAAAGTCGCATGCATCGTACACTTAGGTCTTCACAAGTGTTTGAAGAACTTTAGTTAGACTGTAGAGAAGGCCCTTCAACCGATTATTGAGGGCAAAGACGACAAGATATAATTTTTTTTGTCCAGTAAGTTATCTATTTTACTGCTTTATATGACAAATGGTTTTTTTAACGGTAGCAGGGTGTTCAGACGATTTCGAACTTAGCAAGGCCAAAGCAGGTTGGACAGTCACTAGTCTCTACTCTCTGAAGTTAATTATTCACTAGATAGTCCACGACGCTAAATCAGAACAAACAACATACACCGTTGGAAATTATTCCAGAGGATGATAAAAGAGTCAAAAGGGACCGCTAGCTACGATCAGATATCGTTTCTCGGATATGGATTTATGTAAGAGGACATTCATCTTCGGGAAAGTGCGGATAAACCACAGGCCGAAGTGAACCTTTGGAATAGGAACAATGGAATGCTTACGCAAGACGGATTTATCTTCCGGTGCAGTGACACCGATTCCGGAATGGGCGTTGGATCGAAGAAGCAAAGTAATCACCTGTAGGAATATACAGTGGTTATATTTCAATACCTGCGACAATGCACTGACACCTTTGTCAGTACGACCGCAAGCAGCGAAGGAGCATGCATCCGTGTCCTCGAGCATTCTACACTTCTCAAAACTTTCAATAACCCTTTCAGCGATGGTTATCTTGTTCAACTCTTGGCGGGCAAGTCCATTGTAATCCCAACCAAAGTACAAAATCTTCAAAGCAACACGACGCTTGGTGAATCTGCACAAGAGCATTATTTTATAATACACTCTTGCTTTGAAAAGTCGAGGGGACGCATCGCCTTTTTGCGCTCTCTTGAAACTCCCTGCAGTGTCAATATCCGACCCTGTAGGCTGGTAATTTGTTTTTTAAGATACTTAGCATGTTCTAGTAATTCCTTAACAAATAAAGAAAATTGTGAATAATACAAGATGTGAAAGTTTCGAAATATCCACGTTTTCAACCATCTTAGACGCAAGATTCAAGCTCAAGCGCATGCCAGTGCACGCTTAAAAAAGCCAAGGTCATCGACTCTGCCATCCGTTAACTCCACGAACACTTCAGCTCAGTAAAATACGCGGGAAGGATACATTGCGGGCAATTTTTGTGTGAACTCACTTAAAACTCCCTGTTTAACAAGCCGCAGAAGGATACCAACAATTGTGAGAAAGGGACATAAAATAACTACAAACAAAATATCGAAAGCATTTTTTTTTGTACAATGAGGTGCATCAGTGGTTGCTTAAATTTATTCTCCGCAATTATGGAACATATTAGGAAACGTTGACTTTTCTGTAATTGCTTGTTAAGAATCCCTGCCTACTCGGTCGGCTGGCAGACATCCGTTCTTGAGAGTTTCACAAAAAGTAGATAGAGTGGGACATGGAAGTTTCATTAGCGTTAGTTCCAGCAGTCCTTGAGAACAAGTGCTTTGGTGAACTGAACCGGCGGAATAAGTAAGACCCACTTCGATCGCTATCTAGATGCCTATAACCAGTATTCCTTAATACTCGACGGGTGTATTTGATCTATTTCATGCGTGGTCTGTTTAATATAACTAAAAAAACTGAATTTCTCTTGCCGTATGCAATACATTCCGTGCATGCAGTATGCTACTAATGTTTGTTACCTACTCTATTGAAGGGGTGGTAAGACTGTTTTAAGAGGAAGGGTTGTTTATTTTGTGGTTCTATGACTTGTTCTAGGAAAGACCTGGACGCACCGGAGGTAACAAAGGGAAATAAAAGCATGTTTCGCTGCTTGGAACGTTAACTCATGATGGTAGTTCAACCATCGATTTTGATTAAGTGCAGCATGAGCTTAGTACCAGGGAAGGTGACTGAAGTCAGGTCTGGATTTAAGTGAAATAGACGCGCAGCCGTCAACCTCCAACCCGCTTAAATAGTTGGCTAGATATAGTCGAAATGACCGAACGGGATCAGGCGTAGGCCGCTTTAGTTAATGCATGCAAGAATACTACCTAACTTTGCCTAAAATGACAATAAACTTTTTGCGTCATCCCTAATGCACTGCCTACACTCACTTGCCTTCAGCGGGTGTCAAGACAGACTCAAGGAGACCGAGGCTGGTACTTCTACTACTACTAACTACCAATGCAGCTGAGTGATAGTAGTACTGGTGATATTTCTGACCCTAGTATTAGCCAGACGTGATGCTGCTTAAAGTCAGCGGTGGGTTCATCTCTAGTCCAGTAAGTAGTGTACTATGATACGGCTTTGTATGCTTGCAGGAAGTCGGCATCCAGTATGCAGCTCCAATCTGTATGGGGTAAATAATAATAAGCTTATGGATAAAAGAAACGTTACTAAATAATAACTGAAGTTTCAGCCGTTTGTTGTCTATAGGCAAACTGCAGGCTTACCACCAGTACATAACCGCAGGGTTCCGTCTTTCCTCGTTATATGGACGACCTGGGGGGGGGGCGACCACGTGAAAATCAGTCGGCGCACTAACCGTTCGATCGAGCATTTAATTTGGAATTTGGAATCCATATTTGTTATCGCGAAAAAGGCACTTTTGATGCAAAATTAGTTTTGTAAAATATATAAAACATACCGTCTGATAACTTACGATAGAAACTGTCCGATAGTAAATACCGTGCTACTATTACTGTGACTGCTGCTACCGATATTTTACTACTCGCGACTTTCACGTAGCTGACTGTTAGTTATATTGGCTCTTTCTATACTGCTAGTATTAATCTGAGGTGAATCAAGTTAAAGTCAACGCTCGATCTCGACAAGGAGTGTAAATCTGGGTTAATGCTATTCGGAGTTAATACATGATTAAGACTGGGACCACATCGGGTTTCCCATGGTTTCCGCCCTCTCAATTCAATCCACCAGAGTGTTGCATCTTATGGGCTAAGGATAGGTTATTAAGTAATAGTCCAAGTTCCACCATGCCCTTATGTCGCATGGCGCCATTTGCAGTCTTCAGTCTTACTTTTGACTTACTGTAGTATCTCACTCACTCCGAGGTTTTGGGAACGTTCCCTGTCCAATAGGAGAGCAATCTGTTCCAGAATCAACTAACATTGATATGTCGTGTTGGCAAACAGCTGTTTTCGGTCATTGACTTCAGGCCGTTACAGTGACATGGAGAATTAGGCGACTAAAGCAGGCAGTTCGGTACAGTGCTAATATAGTTCTTGAG